TATTAAAGCTAGTAATTTATATAATTACTATTTATACTATAAAAACTAATATTTTTATAGCTAAGCTAGCTATAGCTTTTATATTTACTAGCTTAGTTTTAAACTTTTTTATTTTATTTTTATTAGCTAGTATAGCCTGCGTAGTAAAGCTTTTAAAATTATAAAGTACTACTATAATTTAGTTATATTCTAGTTCTATATATATAGGCACTTAAAAAAGTTAGAAAAAGCTCTAAACTAGTAAATAAAAATAGCTATTTACTAGTTTATACTTTTTATTTAGAAGTGTATAATAAGTATACTTTTTTAAATCTACTAATTTAAATAAATATATAAAGTTAAATTTACTATAAAACTAGGCCTAGATAAAACGTAAATAAAAAATCTAATAGACTAAAAAATATATACTTAGAGGTATAAAAATAGATATTTTTATAAAAGCTATTTAGTATTAGTATTAGAGGTAATAATAAATAGTAATAGAGTATATATAATAAAAATATAAAGTATAAAAAGTAAAAAAAAATTATAATATTTAAAAAATTATTATATTTTACTAGAGTAACTACTAGATTTAGTAGTTATTATAATAATTATTAATAAATAGTAAATAGAAAGTTATATTTATTTTAATAAAATAATAATTCTAGAATAGACTTTATATAGAGGTTATATAGAGAACACTTAGATATAGAACTATTTAATTTAAAGTAAAAAGTAATGTAATAAAGCTATATTCTATTATAATAATAACTTTTAGCTATAGAAGCTTTTTTATAAGCTATTTCTATTTTTTTTTATATAAATTTATTAAAAATAGAAAACTATACTAATTTCTACCTAAACTACCTCTATATTATATCTAGTCTAGATTTTATAAAAATCTCTACTTTACTATTACCTATATACTAATATAGTAAAAGAAATAAAAAAACTCTATAAAAGTCTAGAACTACTACTAAATTCTACTTTAGATAGCTTACTTTTTTAATAGAACTATAAAAATATAATTTTTTTATTTTTTTATATAAAATTTATAAAAATATAATTTATTTAGTTTTTTAATTTACGCGTACTTCTATATACTTTTAAGCTAATTTAGATGCTTTTTAGTACTTTATATTTTTAAACTATTATAACTTTAAAATTAGATATAAACTTTATAGTAGTAAAGTTAGATATTAATAGTAATAATAATAATAAGTAAAAATATAGTATTTATAATACTAAAAATAAGTAGCTAGCTTAGTAGTGTAGCTAGCTTAGTAGTAGAATATATTAGAATAATTTATTTATATAAATATTTTTATTAACTATATATAAAGTATAAATATTATAACTTTATAATATTTATATTATATAATACTAAAAATACTAATACTACTATAGTATATTACTAATTTTAATAACTCTTTTATATAACTTTAATAGCTTTAATTAGAATAGTAATAGATACAATTAAAATATTAGTAAAAAAAATAAGTTTTTAAATAACTAATTTAAGACCTTTTTAGTAAATAATAGTAAAATAAATTAAAAATTATAAAAAGCTTTAGATTTATAACTATTCTAAAAATAGATATTTAGAAATAATTAGAAAACAAATTTTTATATTACTAGCTAGAAAGAGGTTATACTATATATACGTTTATAACATAGAATTACATAGGTATAAATAGAGGAGCTTTATAGAGAATTCTAATATTAAGTAGGTATAGCTTTAGCTAAGCACTACGTACGATTAATAGAAAGGGTTCTTTCTATTCTAAGCTAAAATTAACTGCGCTAGAGCGGGAAAACCCCTGCCCCAGTGCCCGTAGGGATTGTTGCTAGCTGTTGTCTCCGCCTCTGTAATTGTTGCTTTGCCACGTCTCTTTGCTGGACCTCGGTGTGGCGAGTCTTGCGAACCCCCCTCTTCAGCGTCCTCCTCAGCGTCTTCTTCAGCGTCGTCCTGCTCAGCCTCCACAGTTGTTGCTTTGCCGCGTTTCCTTCCTGGCCCCCGGCGCGGCATATCATCTGGGTCCTCCTCCTCAGCGTCCTCCTCAGCGTCCTCCCCTTCAGCATTAGGGTTGCGGGCAGGGTGAGATGTGCCAAATTGAGAGGAAGGGGCAGTAGTACCTAGCAATGAAAGCCGCCTTGCTTCTGCTATATTGCGGTCGAAGGCATTGTCGTGTGCGGCTTGGTGAGCTTTGGCTGGGCCAAAGAAGGATGTCTTTTGTGGCTGGTGAAGCCCGCTGGTCATACGAGGCCGCTTTGGTGACCTAGGCCTGCTATTGCCCATCTTGCAGAACCAAAAGGTATGTGCGGAAGAGGTGTAAACGTCACTTGTAGTCTGGCGGTGCCGTCTTGCCTAGCTCGTGATCTGAATCTCCCTATCGTCGTCACTGCTGGCGTGATCCTGCTCTCTCGCTTGGCCCGGGATCAGAATCTCCTCATCATCATCACTGGTTGTATGGCGCTCCTTCCTCCTCCAGCCTCTGCTCGGTATCTTCTCGTCGTCTTCATCGCTGATTGTATGGCGCTTCCGCCCGGCGCGGCCTCTGCTCTGCATCTCATTGTCTTCATCGCTGGTATCCGTGTGGCGAGACTCAGGCTTGTCGTTAGAGACGAGGGGTGGTGGTACTGGTAGTTGGCCGGCCTTGGAGAAGAACGTTGTAATCCGTGACTGGTCAGGAGCAGCGACACGAGGCAGCTTTGGGGGCCTTCCCATTTTGACGGTACGTAAAGGGAACAATATAGGGAGCGTCGAGGATGTGGAGCGAGAGAGAGGGGGGCAGGGGGAAGTGTATAGAAAGTGTAGAGGATATGGGAAGGCGGTTGGGTGCCCTCAGTGTTGATGGAAGGTGCATCAGAGGAAGGTGCGTTGTTCTCTTCGGAAAGTATGTGTGTCGTAAAGAGAACATCAAGTATGATAATTGTTTTGTATCTTCGATTCAAAGGAATTGCCTAGTTACAGTCAATCAAGGTCATTGATGTAGTTTTTGGATCCGCTAGGCCGTATTGTTGTGAAGTTGTCCGCGTCTTAAAATGGTTGGGTTCAGATTGTCCGATTCGTGCTCTAGCAAGAGCGACTCTCGAGTCTAACAGGTGTATGCCACTTAGTTGACACAAGCAAATCGTCGCACGTGAAACAATATGGCAGTTGACGGAAAATAGAAAAAATGAAGAAAAAAGGGATAGGTGCTGCATGTGCACATCGTAAGCATAGACACGTCATTGGGTACTAGGTACATACGTCCTCAACTGGTCTGCAACTAGAATTTTCTCTTATTTTAACCCTTGTCATGGGGTTTGCCCTGCACACCAGACTTTCTTATCACGATCCTTTACCGAGCACATTTGCGCGCTTAATTCTTAATCATACTCATGTCTATGACATGTGCATTAATATTCATGCCCATTAGTAGAGAGTTAAAGGGTAAGCGCAAGGGGAAGAGTGGTGAAGGGATAGGAGAGAGCAGGGCAATAGTAGTAACCTATCAAGGACTAATATATGATTGGCGGCGAGGTCTTGTTGTCTCTTCCTCATCTCCTTCTTCTCTTTATTCTTGGTTTACCTCGGTGCTAGAATTACTATCTTCGATGTGTCCGCCTCCTGCCATGGTACTGTGAGGACGCCCAAATCTGCGGAGCTGGGTCTTAGATGCGCCCTTGAGACCCCATGATGTCGCGGTAGCGGCAGCGACAACTGTAGTGGCAGCGGCCCCTGATGTAGAAAACGAGACATATGCATCAATTCTGGCTTGTGAAGCTTTGGGCTCTTTTAACGACTGCTTTGGGGCTCGAGAAGACGCTGAGAGTTGTGACTACAGCATTTTGAGGCGTCAATGCTAGGCGTGGGACCAGCGGTGAGTTGGAGACCGGTACTCGGGCGGGAGAAGACGAAAGCTACAAATATACCTGGCTAGACATATCATGTATCAGTGGACGCTTTCGTTATTGGACTGTTGTGGTGGTCTTGGAAAATAAGTGGTGTATTCGTTTGGGTTAGAACAAGAATTTGAGATGACCGCCTGACATACCATATGAAAACACTGTATTAACACCTGTAACAAGTGAACTTTCTGCTAGTAGAAGTAAAGTCACTCAAGGCGAAGGGAATCATCTGTAACGGCTGAAGATGTTTCAGAAATTGGGAAGCAGAACGGAGCGAACGAAAGTAAGTCACGATAGCGAAGTCAAGATAAATCAAAGTCGAAGAGCGAGCAATACGTGAACGAATCTCTCCCGCCATACATTTTGGGCTTGCGGATCAAGATATCGCGACCGTCATGACACTCGTAGCCTGCCATACCGTGATGTTGCAGGCGTCGCTGATTCCAAGCAATGAAGTTCGGGCCTGCCGCGGGGCATGTGCGGGGGGCCGTCAGACCCCAACCTTTCGCACACTGAACACTTCGAGCGCGATAATGGTACCATAAAAGACTTTCACGATCTTTGAGTTGTTGTTGCATGTAATCTGATCGTACGCATGAACGATCTATTAGAATGTTAGAGCATCGTTGCACACAAGGTTTTGACATGGACTGGAAGTTCGAGTAGTTGAATTGCATGTGGATGGCAAAAGACACTGCCGGGTTCCGTGACTTATATATATCACTTGATACTTCAATGTATGGACGCGCTGTTCACTGAGGTGAAGTCATGGTTGTTCGTAGCTTTGGCATGTCAACCAACTAAGAGTCCCTACTAGATTCCCACTAATTCAAGCTGACATGATATATCAACCTCTAACAGTTGCTGGTATGTAGAGTATTCGGTTGCAAAAGTGATATCGATGCAGGTTTGAACCAATCCAACTTATGCACGCCGCGCGCAGCTAGAGCACCAGTGCTAAGTCAAAACGTAATATATAGTACAGATGCAGTCTACCCTCCTTTTCCTGTCCTATTAATGACTGAACATCTTATCTTCAAGAGCAAAAAGAGTAGTTATTCGTGCTCGATTGAGCAGTGTCTCGAAAATTCGCCACCCGTTTTCTACACCAAAAACGAAAGCTCCGACAACGGCAGGATTCGAACCTGCGCGTCCGAAGACATATGATATCAAGGTCGTTCGAGTCATACCCATTAACCACTCTGGCACGTTGTCATTTGGCTTTTTGATGAGAAGAAGCAAAATTATATATACCATATACTGGAGACGTGTAAGAGCTTTGGTAAGATCAGCCCATCATCCAGTCGATACTCCAGAGTCCAGCTTACGGTTTCACATGTCTATCACCCAGAAAAGCAATAATGGCAAAAAAATCTTCCCGCGGGGCAATCCTGCGCTGGCTCACCATTGTGCACGGACCACACTTCACTGCAGATACGCTAAGTCCATATCACTCCTAGTGTCTTTCGGCAGACTCCCGCGCGTGGCGTATCGGCTCCTCCCAAGATCACTGGCCTTATGCAGGTCCGACAATCGCATCCCCAGAATATCTCCTCTTCGACGTAGCGTGTGCCTCGTCGTGTCTCGAGTAGGTACTTCTGTCGAAGACCTTTATCCGGCTTTTCGCGCCATGTAGACGAAGTTGCGACTCATCTGCGTTCATCACCCATGGTCGGCATCATGGATTCAGCAGCCGTCGCGTCCAAGGCGGCGTCGCTCGCGTCGCCAAAGATTGTCAAGAATGCAAAGGGCAACATTGTGCCAAGTAGCCAGATGGCGCATATTGCCTACGGCTGTGGTAAGCCCTATAGAGCCAGGAGATGAGAAGTCCGCCTGCTGACCATGGTATAGAGCACATGGGCGAGATGTTTGAGAATGCGCGCAAGCAGACTCTCCAGCAGTACCGAGCGATTCTTCGAAACATTCACGAGAAACCGAGCATCATAGCGCAAACACACAACTCATCGAACGATGCGCGACCTGTCGTCTCCCTACGACCGCTGTATCTGTGTCTACAGTGCCCAAGCATCATGACCGAGGCAGACCGGGATTCACACTTTGAGACCAAGTCACACTGTTTCTGTAAGTCTAATTTGAAGCTGACAATAGGGCTTACTGATCAAACCTCCAGCTGTAGAGTCACGGGAAGGCAACGTATATTGTGGCAATTGCCAGGACTTCATTTACGACGAAGCGCTGGAAGTCCTCAGGCAACAGAAGGGTTCGTTCTCAGCCCTCCGCATACTATGCTTCGGACTGCGCTGACTGTTCACTACATAGGCAAGAAGCGGAAATACGAAGACACGACCACCACCGACGATCACAAGCTTGTTGTTAGCAACTCCACCTTCCTTCCCTGTCGAGCGATTGGCCTGCGCGGGCTTTACAACATGGGTCAGACGTGCTTCATGAGTGTTATATTACAGACACTTGTGCACAATCCCTTCATACGTAATTTTTACCTTTCAGAAGGACACAGACAGACGGACTGCGAGAAGGAGGCATGCGTCAGCTGTGCGCTGGATGAGATGTTTGTCGAGTTTCACTCGGCCGAAAAGACTGAAGGTTTTGGAGCCGTTGGCTTGCTCATGGGCAGCTGGCTAGCCGGAGAGGCACTGGCGGGATACCAGCAACAGGACGCTCACGAGTATATGCAGTTCATCCTGAACACGCTTCACCTTGCGAACGGCGGCACTACCGACTCGGAAGACTGCAAGTGTGTAGTCCACCAGACGTTCTGCGGCAAACTGTCGAGTATAGTTACCTGCGACAACTGCCAAAATGTCACAACAGCGCTGGATCCGTATATGGATCTGAGCCTTGACGTACGCAACCAGGCAAAGAAGAGGAAGCTCAACGCGGCTAATGGCGATGAGACGCTGCTGGATATACGGGACTGCTTGGGAAGATTCACGGTCAAAGAAAGACTGGGCTCAGCAGAGTATACATGTCGGAACTGTGATAGCCCACAGAATGCGACAAAGCAGCTGAGCATCAAGCGACTACCTCCGGTCCTATCCATCCATCTCAAGGTAAGATTGTCGCAAAATTGACGCGCTTTACTAACAGGTGAAGCGCTTCGAACACACAAAATCCACATCCTCGAAGATCGAAACCAAAGTCAGCTTTCCTGTAAAGCTCGATATCCACCCATACACAACTCCGCACAAAGCCGCGGTGAAGGCACTACCCTCGAAATCTGCAAGCCTCAATTCGAATCACAACATGAACTCGCCTGCCAACAGCCTCGTATACGAGCTATCATCTGTCATTGTGCATAAGGGCAAGATTGACTCAGGACACTACGTCAGCTACTCAAGAGAGGGTAACGATTGGTTCATGTTCGATGATAGCAAGGTGGTGCTTGTCAACGAGGCGGAAGTCCTCGCAGCAGAAGCATATCTCCTGTTCTACATGGTCAGCGGATTGGAGGTGTGATATTGATTTGCAAGCTTCTCAAATAACGCTGTTACTTCTTCTTGGGTTGCATTCGGGCGTTCTGGGAGGCATTGGACGGGGCCACCGCCCAGACACATGAATAACCAAGGTGTAAGGTTCTTCCAAGGACGCGCTTGACATTGTACAAACTACTCTACATCAATCGACGTACAGAGTCGGCGAGAGCCGCCAAAATACGCATGACTTATTCCTCGGCATCTGAGCCATGAGATTGGTAGTTTCGTTGCACCTGGTTGGGCTCGAGCGCTCTTATCTGCACACTAGAAAGCAAGTGATCCCAAAGTTTTGCAATGGGAATAACCGAAGGGAGTGGCTAGAAACCGCAAGAGTCAACGTCTATCGTTGGGTCGCTGGCAAGCCGACCTTGGTGAGCTTTATGCCTCCGCTTTAAGAAACCCAGTTAGGACACAAAATGAAGTAACAAGTCTTCAGGGTGCTCTTTCAGTGTCGGATATACTTTGCAAGAGGGCTCTAAACCAGTATATCACCAAAGACGCCGGTCTGCGATGTCACATGCAGCTGTCTCAAAGTTGGCTGCCACCTAGCTACCGCTGGCTCACCTGTGCACTCTCTCGTCTGCTCCACAGTGTGGGACTATAATATCTGCGAGATGAAATCGTCTGCCAATACCGGTCACGAGGACCGTCTGACGACGCCACGGGCCTGCATCGCGGACATATATTAACCGGCTACAACGCTGCCGCATTGCCAAGCAACTGATCGTTTGCGAATTGAGTGCGCGCTACAGTCATCACAAAAACGCACTTAATTTGTTGATGCAAATCACTACAATCTGTAGGTACCTCTTAGAGTTCATTGGTTGCGACTATGCCACCGTTGCACTACCGACATCACGACTCCCGGCATGCGTGACATGGACTCTGGGGCGCATTGGCAATTGCACGCCAATTCTGTCAACGCCATACACATGTGGCTTTGATATGACCTGAATATATTGCGGCTCCAAGCCTACTGGTCTAAGGTTTCAGATCTTTAATGTCGGGCGCCAGGTTAAGGCACGCATACAGAGTACATAAGGCGAACGCAATGGCCGAACATCAGAGCTGCACACAGCCTCGAGACTCTCTGCTCCATAGGTACATGCAAGAGCGGTTCGAGAGTCCACCACTCACTCACTCGTCATGAAGCTCTTCGCTGCTGCCCTCGCTCTTTTGCCCGCTCTCTCATCAGCCCACTGTATCGCTCAACGTGTACGAGTAAACGGTCAGGACAATGGGCAAAGTAATGGTATCCGCGTTGCGTCTTCAAACAACCCTATCACGAATGTGAACGATGGGAATCTCGCCTGCAACGCTGGTTTATCTTCAAGCAGCAAGGTAAGCACTGATTACATCAATGTTGAAGCTCACTTCTAACTTCATCCCTTCCAGATTATAGACGTCAAGGCTGGCGACAAAGTCGGTGTCATGTGGGGCCATGTACTCGGAGGTCCGCAATTCCCAAATGACAAAGACAATCCGATCGCACCCAGTCATAAGGGACCTACGATTTTCTACATGTAAGGCCCCTAGTCGTTAGGGATCGCGTCGAGTAGTAGAACCTTCATACTGACTGGCATATAGGGCAAAAGTTAACAACGCGGCGAGTGCTTCACCCAGTGGTCTCAAGTGGTTTAAGGTCTCCGAAGACGGCCTTGACAGCTCTGGGAAATGGGGCGTTGACAGAATGGTAAGTGTCGCTCTCACTTCAGAACTCCAAAAGATTCTCTCACTAACACATCACCTATAGATAAGTGCCGGTGGTTGGGTCGACTTCTCCCTTCCTTCCTGCGTTGCTCCAGGCCAATACCTCCTCCGTGCGGAAATCATCGCACTACATTCTGCCACTCAACCAGGCGGGGCTCAATTTTACGTCGGGTGCGCACAGATCAATGTGTCTGGTTCTGGCACGAAGACGGGGTCGACCGTCAGCTTTCCAGGCGCATACCAGGCGAACGATCCAGGTATCCTGGTCAGTATTTACGACAACAAGGGCAACCCCGTTGGTAATGGGCAGCCATACAAGATCCCTGGGCCTGCAAAGCTCACTTGTTAATATCGAAATCTATCACAATGTATTACTAGAGGTCAATTGAGCGTAACGCGAGATCAACCTAGGCAGTCTCGCTTACAGTAGTAAGAAAACTTGCGAGATTATCTATGCGATATCGACCACAATCTTGCCTCGCACACGCCCTTCCACCATGTAATTCTTCACTTTCTCCCACGCCTCTTGATGACCTTCTTCACTTAAAATGCCCTTGATCACATCCTGGACTACGACCCTTACGCTGCCTTTCTCAGCCAGTTCTGTGACTTGCTGTAGCAATTCGCTCTTCGCGAGAAAGATGACGTTGGCGTATCGCGGTCCGAACAAGTATCCTTTGATGTGACGAATTACTTGCGACGGATAGGTGAAGTACGTCATCGGTCCACCCATGGCCGTTCGTGATGTCTTATCTCCCACGATCGTTATAAATGCGCCAGAGGTATGCAGCAGATCGTACTACCACAAGTCAGCATTCACTCCTACATCAATAAGGCGCGCAAGGAGCTTACCCAATGTTGGAACATCTCAGTCCCACCTACGCAGTCGATATACAAGTCATATTTCCGTCCCTCAGGCCTGCTGGCTAGCAGGGTCTGGGCCACATCTTGATCCCCATAGTCAATCACCTCATCAGCCCCCAGTTTCCTCACGAAGTCTGCATTCCGACCTGAGCAGATACCTGTAACGTGGCAATCGTACAATTTCTT